TTAACTGCTTTCGAGCTTTGGTGGAAACAAACATATTTCATATTCGTAATATCAACAAATATTTTTACAAAATGAATTGTTTGGTGCGATTTTTTTTCCCTTTTTGAAGTGACGAATCTTTTTACAATTCTAGCCTTTCTTTTTCTTTAAAAAAAGAAAAATTAGTTTCATGATTTTAAAACATTTCATTTTCATGAGGCAGGCTAGAGTACCTAGCAATATATAGTGATAATAACTAATAAGTTAATTAATTTTAAGTATAAAGTCATTTTCTTATCTTAATAATGCTTACATAATTTTTAAATGTTTTTTTTTATTCTTTAATTGATGACTTCATATTCTTTATAAAGAAGTATTTAAATTTTTTTTATTTCAATATAATGAAGTGAAATGAAAAAGGTTTCTAGAGTAGGGTTAAAACAACCTTAGTTATCGGAAGTAATGAGTTTTCTATTTCAATGTTATAATAATTAGTTTCGCACAAGTTCGACGCTCAATTTAGAATTAAATTCTAGTTTATTCATTCATCTTTTCTCTTTTTTATCCAATATTTATTATTAGAAATCCCTCACTTCTTGCAGTACTTAAAGTTTAAAATTAATTTATGCTCTTTTCCTAAATAAAAGGATATTTCCGGCTGCATAGCTTGAAGATTTAAATTAAAATTAACTACAGTTAATACACAAAAATTACAACGCAAGCATTAAAAGAAAGAACTAAAAAGCATAATTTATAATTGTAAAACAAAACAAAATAATTTTATTTTAAAAATTATTAAAAAAAAAAGAATTTATTTTTACCTACTTTTCAATAAATAACAATATTTTATTGGCAACAGATGGCGCTAAAAACATTTTGAACTGGTTTGCTCTGTTGAAGCAAGCAGCATAGTAAGATGAAAGATCTTTTTCCTGTTACCATAGTAACCAGCTCTTGCTCCTCCAGTCGCCATGGTGATAGCGTGTGTGGTATGGAGACGATTTGGAGGCTTTACACGATGCTTCCAAAACATTGGAAGGACGAATCCAACAACCTCTTCATAAGGGGTGAAAGTCAGAATTTTTGTTCACAATCTAAACGTTCGCATTTTTTTTTTTTTTAATCTATTCAGCGCAGATTTTTCAGTTCAAATTTTGTATGCGTTCAAATATAAAATTAGCTTAGGTTATCAGAAAAACATTTATTTATTTAATTTTAATGTATATTCCTTTAGAAAAATTTTAAATTTTTTGTTAAAATGTACCAATAGTTAACCTACCAAATATTAAAAGAGTCAAAAAGTTAAATTCATGCTAAAAATGCATTGTAAATGTTACATAAAAGCTTAATTTAAGATAAAGTTTACTCAACAATAAAAATACTTCAACATTTCTTGAAAACAAAATTTCTTTTGCTTGAAATCAATATGATTAAAATAGATGTAAAAAGTATTTTAAATTATGAAAATCATGTTTGAATAGACAAATAGTTTCAAGCATTAAAATCTAAATCAATATGCCTTATTTTTAATTATTAATTAAACTACTGCTATTTATTTATTATGTTTTCTATTTTTTTTAATAATTTGTATTTTTATTTCTTCCTGAATAGTCTTAAAATAGGTATACACATTTAAAAATAATTCTCTAAAAATATATAATAATAGTCTATATATAAATAAATAAATGGAATTAAAACGGAAAATTTTGTTTACAAATTTATGTATTACTCTCAAATTCAACTAAATTAAAAATCATAATATTACAGCGGGAAAAAGAAAAATCTAAAATTAAATATAAGGGTATTTTAAAAAGTATTTCTGGTAAGGAAATTATTTTCAGTTAAACAAATATCAAGTATTAAAATAAAAACACAATTGCTTATTTTATGATAAAACTCTACTTTAAAAAATGGCAAGCCGCCATTTTGGATGTTGAACTTATGGATGTTCAACTTTTGGATGTTATATTTTGTTTCACAGTACGGAAACTGCAAAACTTAGAAACTTGAAGTGACTGAAATGTGAAAAAAAAAATTACAAGGAGTTCAATGAAATAAAGAAAAAGATTCGATTATTCGCTCGAGAATTATGTTACCCGATCAAAATTCAAATCAATTTGTTCGTAAATTATTACAATTTTAGGTGGATCGTTTTTCCTTTTTGGTGAATTTTTGATTTTTTTTCCTTTACCTTACATTTTGTTTCGGTATGCAAAAAACTATAAAACTTAATCATTGCGGTGTAGGAATTTTTTTTAGAAAGTACGACGATGTAAGAAAATAAAATTAGGTAATTAGTTCAAGAATTATTAACTGTGTAATTATTCTTCAAATTATTAACTGTTGGAGAATTAGTAACTATTAACATGTTGTAAGAAAAGTATGTATTATGCCTGCCTATTTGCTGAACACTAAAAACCAACTACGGAATTGAAATTGTTAAATGGTTAGAGATCCATTTTTATTTTTTAACTGGAATTTTTTTCTGTTTACAATTTATTTTTACTTTATTGGCATTTAAAGTGCTTTTTTCATAAATTGTTTCTCAGTTTTTTGCTATAAATATTGACTATTTATCCATTGTTGCAAAAAATATATATTTTTCTTTCGAAATCTTTGCTTTGTAAGCATACGCATGACTTAATGTCAAAACTAACAAAAATATTGTGAAATATATCTCAACATTTACATAAAAATTTTCTAAAATAAAAAAGAAAATTTCAAAGAGAAAACAACCTTTTCCCTATTAGAAATGTTTTAAGGCAAACAAATAAAATTACTCCTCGTTTTTTTTCTTATTAATTCACACAATCTGTATTCTTAAATAAAAAAGTACAGAGGATTATTTTTTAAATTCACGTACTCGTTAATTTCGTCACAATAAACGCCATGACAAAATATTCATGACGAATACTTGTATATTTTGTTTAAAAAAAAGCATTTTTTTTTTTTTTGAAGAAAATACTGACTTTAAAAGAGAGACAAAGATAAATGAGATGCAAGTGGAACGAGCAGGCTTTAAAAGCTTCCTGGACTTCTTTAAAAAATTGAAAAGTACGTAAATATATTTTCAAATGATTCACTAATAAGTGTAAGGTTGTAGTAAGGTTGTAGTATTCTTTTTAATTTTCATCATCCCTTTTTAATTTTTACCATTTTTATCTGAAGGATTTGATAAAATATTGGATAAAAGTTTTATTTTTATTTTAAAAAAAGTGTAATTTCAATAAACTGTATCAAAATGTCAAAAATAACATGTTGAAATCAGATATAGGCTATCTTGCACTTAACTGGATAGACCAACATAAGTATTTTTTAAAATAGCATTTACCTATAAGGTATCTTAGAGCAGAGGTTCCAAATGGTGATCCGTGGATTCGGTGGAAGGTTCAAAGGGGTTCTGAAAGTTTAAATTTTTTAAACCGGAATTGATTTTTAAAACTTGTCATTATATTTGTATGTAAACAATAAACCATCATTTATTTGATATTGTGAGTATTTTTATGAAGTTATTTAAGTAAATTATCAATTTTAAAAAAATGGTGAATTTAAAAAAAAAAAAATTCCTCCAATATTTCTTCAAATTTTTTAAATATTTCCCCCTTCCAATTTTTAAATATATAGAATAAATTATGAAAAAGTTACGCATTTACAAAAACTTTTATCATTATCTCTTATCAAAGTATTCAATATAAAATATAATGGCTAAGTGTCAGAATACAGAGTTATGTTTGTTTGATAATCATTCTGAACGCATATAGCAGTTCATTTTCGGAAATAGTAATTCAGCGTATTTCATTCGTTTTCAGCTTATGCGCTTACTCCAAAAACATATTCAGAACTAGTCTAGTCCAGACCTACGAAAGATAGAACTGTTTACTAGAATTAACCTACAGTTTTAAGTCTATTCTTGATAAAACGATGACTGAAAAAAATTCACACTAAGTATTATCAAAAAAGTAAGTAATTTTCTTTTAAAAAATATATTCACAGCTGCTAATTTTACTTATAAGCATAAGGTTTCGCCGAAATATGGTTGATCCTTTAAGGTTCCGTAGCTGTAAGAAATTGGGAGTCTTAGAGTCATATTCTATTCCCTGTCTTAGAATCATATTCTATTCCCTGTCTTATTCAATTCTTTATAAATATTCTATTTTATCAGTCTTCTGTTGTAACATATTAAATATTATATGACTATCATTTTCTCATTTACTACGTTACAAATAAATAGTTTAGAATATTTTTTTCTATTTTATGGCTTTTAAGGTATTTAGTAACCAAACTTTAATTTTTAAAGTTTTAAGCATTTTTGAAACTACTATTGTCACTTTAGTAGAAATTAACAACTTTTAAGAAATTAACTTAAAACCTTATAAATAAAAGCAAACAACTCTTATCTTCTGAACGAGAACAATGCACCACAGAAGCTTAACTCTCCCCTACTTTCATGACAAAATGTCCAGTAAATGGTCAGAAAACCATCTGCTTATATCTTTTTTTTTATTATTATTATTTAGGTTTTATTTTACGCTATCGTATATCAATGTAATCATTTTTCCGTTTTTAGATCCGGGAAACTGAATACTCCAGCTGTCTGTATTAAAGCAGATTTGGACAGCACAAGGTTTCTTTGCCGTCGCCAAAGAGTTAATTATGAGTAAGCACACTCATAAAAAAAAGTAATAATAAAAAGACAATCCCTAAACTTCTATGTCTTATAGAGGAAAGATTATGTCATTGAAGTAATACTTTTCACTAAAATAATAAAAATATGAACAAACAGCGGAATATTATTAGTGATGTCTCTATCGATTATTATTCGTCTCATTTATTTCCTTTTTATTTTTAGCAAATATGACTTTTCCTTCTTCAGTAATGATATTAATGCCAAAATACTTGTAGGGTTTCGTACCCGAAGACTTTCAGAAGCTCTATGGATGCCACATGTCGGTGGGATTAAAACCATAAAGTTATAAAAGTATTTATAAAAGTGATAAAAAAAAATGTGAAGCTTGGAAAAAGCGGATAAAAATAGCGGCAGTAAAAAGTGTTAAGAGGTATAAAGGCATCAGCCAATCACGCTCCGGATTTTTGGGTTATTTAATGGTTTATTAGATGGGACTTCTCATTTCTTAAGTGAAAGATAACGATGAGGATGTAAGAGAACATCGATGCACTTGGGGTGCTGATCATCGTAACTCTGGTGAGTGCAAACATATATTTGATAATCAACTTATTCATTCAAACATTGGGTAGGTAACTAAGTTCCTACTCTCTTTTTTTTCTAATTTTAAAATTCCGCATGTCAATAAAAGCTTTTGGTTAAATGTTTTAGATCATTCAACAGATGTTGTTTAGTTCTACTAATCCAGGGTTTCATCATTATTTTTTTTTGTTCGGATTAATTATGTTAATTTTCAGATGATCAGAAAAAATTTAAATTTCCGAAATTCTTTTTTTTTTCAAACATTCCGCATGTCATTCAATAACAGCTTTTGGTTAAATGCTTTAGAGTACTCAAGAAATGATGTTTCTACTAAACTCATTATTCATTATTATTTTTTTTCGGATTAATTATGCTAATTTCAGATCATTAATGAAATTTATATTTAGAAATTTATGGCCATTAAAAATTCATATCAATATTTATAATTCACCCTCCCTTATAATATTAAAAAAAATGGTGCTTTGTTCTACCAAAATCTATGTTTTATTCTTTTTCTTTCCTTTTTTTCTTCTTTTTGTTAAAATTAATAAAGTTAATATATAATTTCAAGATCTTTAAATGAAAACTTTAAGTTAAGAAAAATAAGCATTTTCTACATCTTTTTTTAAAATTAAAGTGCTCTAAGGTCATAAAAGCTGCTCGTGGCATTTCTGTTGTGTAGGAGTTCTTATGGAATAAGAACTCATGTTTGGTATGGGTCAAGTTTAAAAATAGAAATTTCAACCTCCTTCTCGCTGACCAGATGAGTACGATGTAATAAAATTTTGTTTGATTATTGAATTAACTTTTACTTAGAAATACGCGTCAAACGGCGAGATTATTTGCAGAGAAAATGCAATTTCTCGCATTTTAAAATTAAAAAAAAATTTTGAAAAAAGGGCGGGAACTTAGTTACGAATCCATTAGATTTTCGGTTATTGCTCAAAACTTTTAAGAAATGATAATTATTAGGAGTAACCGTTAGAATATGCCTTTCTTGCGAAATCAATTAATTTCCATAAAGCAAATATCAATAATAAATGTAAGTAATACAGCGAATAAACAAACAAGTAAATGCTTAGGAAGTAAATAATTTATATGGCTGAAAGAATTTTTAATTTAGTCATGTTCATGCTTATTATTTCAGAAATTTGTTTTGAATACAGTAATAAGAATAATCATGAGCCTTGAAATTAAAATTTCTTTTAGATTATATAACCGTAGGCGACAGCACCACCACTTTTCTCTGTGATGAACTTTACATTTTATTTTGTTTTATTTTTTATTTATTTCTTTATTATTTTTTGCTGTGAGAAAACTATCAAACTTAGAAACTTGAAATCACAAAGAATGGACAAAAATCGTACACAGAGAACGATTAATCAAAAAAAATTAACACTTGATTATTAGTTCAAGAATTTGTAAAGGCTAAATATGTAGTGGAAAATACCCAGTGGGTGGCCCTACAGCCCGTAAAAATGCAACTTGAGGGTTGAAGTTTGTTGTATTGGGAAGACCATTTTAATTTAAAGCGTTAAACCGATATTTTTTTTGTCGAAATTCCAATTTTATGAAAAATCCATTACAATTTTAAGTGACTCTTCACGTTTTTTTTCTTCTTTTCTTAGAATTATGACTATTTATTTATCGATGTTGAATATTTTTTTTCTCTCACGAGCTTATATTTATTGTTAACAAAAAGAGAGAAAGAAAAAGAGAGAGAGCGGGAGAGAGAGAGAGAGAGAGAGGTTAGATGTTGCCAGAAATAATATCTTAACATTAATGCTGAAATTATTAAAAGAAAAAAAAACTTAATTCATCAGTTCAAGAGAAATAAAAACCGTCTCTTCCTTGAATTGATGTTATGACAAAGATTATCGTTATATATCTTAAACGAGTTAAATTAGTTTTTTTTTTATTTCTTTGCACTGTGTCACACATTTTGTTTTACTAAGTTTACGTTTTTTTTCTCAAGGAAAGTTGACTATTTTTAGAAACTCGTAATTATTCATATCGTTACGATTAATAAATAAACTAAGATTTAAAATTTTTATACTCATAAATTAAATTACCAAAGTGATTCTCCTTTTTAATTGAAAAATATTAACTTAACAATAGTGAAGGATAAGTAACCGTGGGAATTGTTGAATGCAACGGGCAAAGGAGAGGAGGAACCTCTTAATTTTAAAATAAATTTATAGAAAGTGGAGAATCTCTTCTAGATCGTATTATTCCAATAACTAACAATACTCTTAACTTCTTAAACAATACAGATATACAGATTAAAATGTTTGTAGCTCAAGTTACTTAAAATATAAATTATAAAAAAAGTAACTACATAATTCTTTTTTGAAGATTAATTTTGAGAGCTTTGATTTAAAATAAAAATTGAATATTATTAATTGCTAAATGCGTTAATAAATCATTATTTGTGTTGCATATTTACGTGAAAGAGATGCAATAATGTAATATTTGTTGTGAGGCTAATTTTTACAGTAGAAGTGTGCATAGTTTATTAAATAAGATTTGAAACGAATTTTTTGGATCTAAATACAGTGTAATTAGTATGTTAAGTAACTTCGTTAATTCTTCCAAAGAATTAAACTTAATTAACTTCATTTCTAATTATCACTTGAAAAATGATAAATTATAATCGAATACTTTTTGCATATTTTGGAATAACTTTAGCGTGTAATTATTCATATTTTGGTCAGGAAACAAATAGCACTAGACTCAAATAATAAGATATGCAATACAATTTTCTAATGGACTATTTGTTTCAAATTTTTACCTTTCTTTTCATTTTTCATTCTCATTAGGAACTTGCAACGAATCAAATGGTTGTCTAGAATCATGTGGTTGTGCATGGCATATAAATGTTAAGGGTATTTTTATCAAGCTGAATTTTTGGATCAGATTTAATCGAATACCTGCGAGCAACGTCATGCGTGAGTATCGAACCCGATTGGCTGACACACACGTGACGTCACTTTCATATATCCAATTTAAAAATTCCACGAACGAGATTATGTCCAATTACAATTAAGCATAGACAATGTAAAGACTTTATAAAAGCATACAAGAGAATAGATATTCTTGAAATATTATTCCCTAAGTGATAAAATGGCTCCAAATATTGTATAACATATTGGGTGCTGAGTCTCAGGTTAAGCTAGTTTTAAAAGTTCATATATTTACGCGCATATGAAGGAAAAAAAGACACTCGTTTTTAAAATTGCATTCAAAACAATTAAGCAAGGAATTTTCCATAATTTACGTAATTGGCAAATGACTATGAAGATCAAGGGAACCATGGTGGCTCAGGTGATAGAGCTTTCGCCTTCCAATTAGGTGAACCGGGTGCTGGTCGCTACGAATTTCGCACCCGGCTCGCACCGGCCACAGTGCTGATGAAAAATATTCTCAGTGATAGACGGATCATGGGTTAGAGTTCCTCTGCAGTCGGTCTAACCGTGAGAGGGTTTCGCAGTTTTTCTCTCCATGTAATGCAAATGCGGGTTATTTCCTTCAAACCTTCTCCCCGAAGGCACAATTTCTCCCAACACTTGATCCAAGAGTTTCCTTGTCTTCTGGTTTGGGTTCAAAATCACAAGACTACGGAGTTCAACAGTAGTGATCGTAAAGACTAAATTGGGTCGACCGTTCAACGACTGTTACAATAAAAATAGATCAAGGGGGAAAGAAAGTCAATTTTATGTCAATTTTATGTCAATTTTTCACAAAAATGATGATTGGATAGCTATCTGTTTCATTTTGAGGATTATTACATGCGAAATAAACCAAAATGAGATAATTTAATTTTTTTAGAAATCGTTTTTTAGGTTTTAAAATCATACATTTAACTTATTTTGTCTGTATCAAAGTAATTACTAAATCATAAATTGTGAAAGACTGCAATCTTTTCCTTAATTGACAAGTTTAATTTATTGAGACACTATACAAATGCTGTCCATAAAAGGTTACTGTAATTTAACTTTTTCTCTTTAATCAGAAAATTTATTATTTTCAATTTAATCGCTGAATTTAAAAAAGTAATTACTAAAATCAGAAGAATATAAAAGCTGAATTAATTAAAACTCTAACGTGAAACATCGTTTAAAATATTTATTTATTTATTTATAAATATCTGAATCGCAAACTTTACTAATTGCACATTTTGGCAACATTTCTGTAATTTGCTCTACATATTTAATATTTTTTTAGCCAAAGCAAAATATATCAATTCAATAGTGTGATTAGAACTCAAAAAATTTTTAACAAAATAGAGTAAAAATTAGTAAAGTAAGTAAAAAATATATCACGCAAAAAACAGAAAATTAAATGTAACGAAAAAACAGAACAAAACACAAAACGAAATCTATAAAGCAAGTAGCGAATTCAAATGAACTTGCATCTACCGGAAACTTTCAAGAAAGATTTAAAATATTTTCGTAAAAAGATTGCCAGATTACAAAATATGAAAATAGTAATTAACAGAAAATTAATAAAACTTATTAATTTTCTTCATTTTTTTCTTTTTATCCTTTTTGTATGGTTGCATAATATTTTTGATTATTAGTTAGATTTGATTCGATATATAACACGGTTTGTGATGAGAATTGCCAATGAAGAAAACCCAAATCCAGCTGACGTCTTACTTTTTCCGCCACAAACAGACATTTGTAAAGAAGTAGCATTTACAGGGAGCCCAGTCTGCGTTTGACAGGAAAGCATATATGTTAGCGTTGCTGGTCATCTAAACGCAATATAATAATTATAAGTGGCTCTATAGTCATGGTACCTGATCGCCAGTCTAGACGGTCCAGTCATTTGCGGTTTTTCACTATTATGGTTTTCCCGAATTTTGCCTGTCACGAAAACGTGCCCTTCATTCTACCAATTCTTTTTTACCCCTTTAAACCGCAAAAAAAAAGGGTGGGTCTTAGCTATTGTGAGTAAAAATATAATAACGGACTTTGCCGGAAATTGTTATTTTA